ACTGACTGCTATTCAATCTATAACAGTGAAAAAAGTTTTTTGTTTTTAAATCCAAGCTATTGTGACGCCAGATGTAATTGGTGGCACTGACTGGGGAAATGGGCACAGTATGCACTGTGAGCCTGACACAGAAGCTGGCAGCAGTGGCAGACAACTGACTGCTATTCAATCTGTAACAGTGAAAAAAGTTTTTTGTTTTTAAATCCAAGCTATTGTGACACCAGATGTATTTGGTGGCACTGACTGGGGAAATGGGCACAGTATGCACTGTGAGCCTGACACAGAAGCTGGCAGCAGTGGCAGACAACTGACTGCTATTCAATCTATAACAGTGAAAAAAGTTTTTTGTTTTTAAATCCAAGCTATTGTGACACCAGATGTAATTGGTGGCACTGACTGGGGAAATGGGCACAGTATGCACTGTGAGCCTGACACAGAAGCTGGCAGCAGTGGCAGACAACTAAGTGCAATTACATTACATAGAAAAAAAAATAAAAAAAGCATACCCTTATCCCTAACCTAGCTATGCTTTTCCCTATCTTATGAACAGCAGCTACACTTTCCCTCCTCTTACTAAGCATGCAGCTTGAGAATGAATCTAAAATGGATGCTGTCCAGTAGGTGGGAGGGTCTGCTAGGGAGGCTGTGCTGCTAATTGGCTGGAATGTGTCTGCTGACTGTGAGGTACAGGGTCAAAGTTTACTCAATGATGACGAATAGGGGGCGGGTCGAACCGCGCATATGTTCGCCCGCCGTGGCGAACGCGAACATGCTATGTTCGCCAGGAACCGTTCGCCGGCGAACCGTTCGGTACATCACTACCGACAAACAAGAGTTTGATAATACCCCTGTCATTCCCCCGGATAGAATAATAGCTACTACGGTTCTATCTATTTCTTCTACACTCTTACAAGTTATACAGGCTAAACAAAACATGGCACCCAGTGAGAAACCTACTGATAAACTGTTTGTTGATGTTCCCGAAAGACGGGACATTATGTTGTTATATCATGATGCCAAAACTGCTGGTGTTTCTAAAACCTTAACAGCAGTTTCTAGATATTTTTGGTGGGCTTCCTTACGCAAGGATATCACCGATTACGTTCAGGCATGTACTACTTGTGCCAGTATGAAGTCTTCTCATAGAGGTCCTTGTGGGTTGTTGCACCCGTTGCCAATACCCGAGAGGCCTTGGTCAAATCTATTCATGGATTCCATTGTTGAGTTGCCTCATTCGAATGGCAAAACAGTCATCCTGATGATAGTGGATCGATTTTGTGTCTCTTGTCAAATTGCCCTCATCCAAGGAACTTGCTTCTATCTTCGCCAGGGAGGTGTTTCGGTTGCATGGCATTCCTGTATCAATTGTATTCGATAGGGGTAGCCAATTTATTTCCAGATTCTGGAGAGCTTTTTGTTCAGAGATGGGTATTTCTCTCTCGTTTTCCTCCGCTTACCACCCCCACTCTAATGGAGCTGCTGAACGTGCCAACCAGTGCCTAGAGTAGTATCTTCATTGTTTCGTATCCCACCATCAGAACAATTGGGCTGACCTGCTTCCTTGGGCTGAATTTGCTCGTAATAACGCTGCTCATGAATCGTCCGGTAAAAGCCCTTTCTACGTTGTTTATGGCCGGCATCCTGTTGTTCTTCCAGCTGCATTCTCCTTACAGGGCATGCCAGCTCTGGATGAACATTTGGCTGGTTTACGTATTACTTGGGAGCAGGTTCAGCGTTCTTTGGTGGACTCCGCTGCTCGCCAAAAGGTTCAAGCTGACAAACATCGCAGGGCGGCTCCGTCCTATGTCGTGGAGGACAGGGTTTGGCTTTCCACTCGCAATATCCGCCTTCGTGTGCCTTCTATGAAGTTGGCCCCCCGTTTTATAGGTCCTTTCCGTATTTTGCATAGAGTTAATCCTGTTTCATATGCCTTGGATCTTCCTAAGAACCTGCGTATTCCTAACATCTTTCACACCTCCTTGTTGAAGCCCCTCCTGTGTAACCGCTATACCCAGCATGTTCCTCCTCCTCCTCCTGTTTCTGTGGAGGGTCATGAGGAATTCGAAGTAGCATTGGTGCATTGGAAGGGTTATGGGCCTGAGGAACGCAGTTGGCTTTCCGCTGACGCTGTTCATGCTCCTCGCCTTGTGCGTTCCTTCCATTCTCGTTTTCCTGCCAGGCCTGGTCCTCCCCGCCCGGTGGGCGTTTCTTCAGGTGGGGGTACTGTAGTGGTACTTACCTTACCCGGAGGCCGGCCGAGGTCCTCACTTCCCACCGCGCGCGGCTCTCGAATGAAGGCGGGCACAGACTGCGAGATGCGGTCACGTGTCCCACCTAGCTCTAAGAGCGTGCCGCGCGTCTCGGGCATGCTCTTAAAGGGGGAGTGGTAGCCAAAAGATAAAATGGGCATTCTCTTAAAGGGGCAGTGGTAGCCAAAAGATAAAATGTGCTCCCATTGGCCCCTGTCATTCCACATTCCCCAGACACTCACATTTTGGGGGCGTGGATATTACAGGGGCCAATCAAAGTAAAGTTTAGGGTATTTATACTTACCTCTCCCTTAACTCCCTGCCCTATCGTGGTTTCTGTTTCAGTTCCCTTTAGCGCTTGTTGTGTTCAGTTGTGATTTTCATGCTTGACCTTGGCTTTGTATCTGACTCCGTTTATCTCTCTATCCCTGTTTTGTCTTGTTTGCCGGCTTACTGACTACTGTGTACCAGACCTTTGCTAGTTTTTGTACTCGCAGTCTCTTTGTTCCCTTGACCTCGGCTTGTTTTTGACTCTGTCTATTCTCTGCCAATCTGTCGATTGTTGGACTAAATCTTGCGTGTAGGGGTAAACTACCATGACAGAGAGATGTATAAAACCAGTACTAAAGAGATTGAATACTACTGACCTTCCCACTACCACTCCCCAAACTCCTGGAGTTCCCATACAATACCGAGAACTTCAGGAGGTGTTTAACAAGGCTCAATCCGATGTATTGCCTCACCAGAGAGCATATGACTGTGCCATTAACCTGTTTCCAGGCGCTATGCCACCTAAGGGGGCAGTTTATGCCTTATCTCCCCAGGAGAGTAAAATAATGGAGAAATACATCAAAGAATCCTTGAGCAAAGGGCACATAAGAAAGTCATCCTCACCAGCTGGTGCAGGATTATTTTTTGTTGAGAAAAAGGGTGGTGAGTTACGCCCTTGCATGGACTACAGGACACTTAATAAAATCACTGTAAAAAATGCATACCCTATCCCTCTCATTTCCGAATTGTTCGATAGACTTCAGGGAGCTAAATTATTTACTAAGCTTGACCTTAGGAGCGCTTACAATTTGGTTAGAATTAAAGAGAATCATGAGTGGAAGACAGCATTTAATACCCGTAGTGGACACTTTGAACACATGTTCTTAGTGAGCAGTTCAGAGATTTTTTAGGATGTATTTAAACTGGGGGCAAAAGGGTGATAAAACATCAATCCAATTGTCCCCCAAAACAAGGACAGAAGGTGCCTGTAGCAAGTGTGTTAAAAATGGTAAGCTTAGAGTCATGTCTACAAATGCTCGCAGTTTAGGGAATAAGATCCATGAACTTCTGTCAATAATGGCAACTGATAGTGTAGATTTAGTCGCTGTTACTGAGACATGGTATAATGAGAAAAATGACTGGGACATAGCAATACCAGGGTACTCTTTATATAGGAAAGATAGGGAAGGCAAGAAAGGGGGAGCGGTGGCCTTGTATGTGAAGGATAGCATAAAATCTAGCCAAATAAAAGTTAGTGAGGCAAACATAGAGTCCGTTTGGGCTACGTTAGAATTTGGTAATCACACAGTAACTCGTGTAGGTGTGATTTATAGGCCCCCAGGACAAATTGAAGAGTTAGATAATCTCCTAGTTGAGGAAATAGCTAAAATGACAATGAAGGGGGAAGTTATCATCATGGGTGACTTTAAGCTTCCTGATGTAAATTGGAAAACAAAATTAGCTACTTGTGCCAGGAGCATACATATTCTAAACTCCCTACTGGGATTGTCTCTAAAACAAGTTGTTGAGGAGCCAACTCGTAAAGAGGCCATACTAGATTTAGTGTTAACAAATGGAGATTTGGTATCAAATATTACTGTAGGTGAAAGTTTAGGATCCAGTGATCATCAGTCAGTGTGGTTTAATATAAGAAAACAAAAGTTTTAGACTTTAGAAAAGCAGACTTTTCTAAAATTAGAATATGAGTAGAGGAGTCATTATCAGACTGGAGCAATTTAAATGGAGTCCAAGAGAAATTGGATTATTTAAAAGTTGCACTATTGAAGGCAACAGGAAATTGCATTAGGCTTGTCAGTAAAAGCAAAAAATTCAAGAAACCACTGTGGTACTCCACAGATGTGGCCAAAATAGTTAAAAACAAAAAGTTAGCATTTAGGAATTATAAAAAAAACCAGAGTGAGGAAGACAAAATGATCTATAAGATTAGGCAGAAAGAGGCTAAGCAAGTTATAAGAGCTTCCAAATCACACACAGAAGAGAAAATAGCACAGTCAGTAAAAAAGGGGGATAAAACATTTTTTAGATACATAAATGAGAAAAGAAAAGTAAAACAAGGATTAGTTAGATTAAAAACAAAAGAAGGAAGGTATGTAGAAGAGGATAAAGGTCTAGCTGACTGCCTCAATGAATATTTTTGTTCTGTATTTACAGATGAAAATGAAGGAAAGGGACCTCAGTTGAGAAAAAGGATAAATGAGTCATTTATTACACGTGAGTTTACAGAGGAATAGGTTCTATTTCTACTGTCAAAAGTAAAGACAAATAAGTCAGTGGGACCTGATGGAATACACCCATAGCTAATAAAAGAGCTTAGTGGTGTACTAGCAAAACCATTAACAGATTTATTTAACCAATCATTG